AACAAGTGAAAAAGGAACATTTACATTTAGTTTATTTTGAAAAATCTATATATTTTCTGAAGCACATATGCGTCATTGAGAACCGTATGTGCTTTAAATTCTAAATTATTGTTAGAGAGTTGATGCTATTTTTTTTTTTTTTTGCAGATGTAACATCTGTCGCCACTCCGTGTCTGACAAACTGCTCAATAAAGATGAAGAAAGTGTCTCTGATGCAGGTAAGAAACAACAAGGCTACTATCCATGCCAGCTTGTCAATGGAAAATACATCATAACTACATCCAATTTTCCCATGTCAGCCATTTTAGATTTAGAATTTTTAAGGAATTTCCATATTTAGTGTGTTTCCTGTGCGTGCGTGTATTTGCGTGCGTGTGTTTGTGTGCGTGGTTCTACTTAGAAATCAGTAGAAAGGATTTACAATTTTCAGCACATTTTAAGTACATTACTACCTGACACAGAATCTAAAAACAAAAACTTTTCAAAATTACATTTTTAAACTAGCATTTTTCATTATTTTGTCTCTTACTGTTTAGATAAACTTACTGTTATATTAAAAGACGACTTCATCTTTTTACGAAGGCAAAGTTTATCAGCAGGGGTCAGATACTTCTATAATGCGTCTTATGAGTCTCTTTACCTGAAACAGTCATAAATTGATTTTTGGCTGAATGTCTTCTTTTCAGTTAAAGAGTCAGTAAGTGTGTCATTTTAAGCAAATATCTTGGCCTTAGCTCGCCCTCTGACCAGAACTCTTATCTGCTGTAAATGTGCCACCTACAATAAATGCCAACATAGCGCATTTCACTGCCATGATTAGTAATGCCCCATCTGTCGACTCGACTGGCATGCTGTTAGTGAACATTAGGCCAAACGGCTCGAGCTGCCACCCTGGCGGATCATTCAGAGCACCGTCACACACACACACAGCGAATTATCTCTGGCTTTCAGCAGCTTCTGTACAACTGGCTCCCGTGTTCCCCTGCATTCTGTGTGTTTACCCTGAGCGCTGATAAGTGCTGTTTACAGACACACACTCTCTGCCCTCAAAGGCCCAAATTGGCATTTCTGCATGATGATTTCCTGAAGGCTTTTGAACCAAATGGTATAAATAGAGTCTGTGGGCTGAATGAAGGGAAAAAGAAGGCAAACAGAACTGAAAATCCAAGGATCAAGAGAGTTATAAAAGCTTTTGAGACTTAGCATCACCTCATTCTTTTATTGGGGTCCTTTGTATTTGAAAAACAAGGGGGAAATGTTGGTGAATTCTGTCTGAGTAAAATCTGATGTTTGCGCATATCTTCATCTCTTGGCTCTGTTCTTATGCTCCAATCAAACCAAAATCCACAGAAGTCATCCAAGAGTTTGTGGGCTCAAATTATGTAGACATAGATGTGTGTCACTAATGTTATACACTGTTTTAACAGAAGGTTGCCTACTGTAATGTTAAGCTTATTTTAACATTGGTGTCAATCTGCTTGCAACACCAGCCTCAAGTGGCCAGTCAATGAACTGCAGTTTCTGTTCCTTCCTAATGGCATCTGGAGGTTGGTACTTGATAGCAACTGAACATTGTTCAAACAGTAGGTTAAAAACTACATCATCAGAAATTAAATGTTATGCTTTCAAAGGTGATATTGTACATAAATAAAGCTCCCAGCAGCTAGCAAAGGGGTTTGGCACTAAGCATAGCAACAAATGTTCATTTTAGAAATGTATTCAAATTAGGTTTGAGCAATTCCAGTGAAGAATGATCACATTAATTTCTGGTATGTACTGTGAGAACAATAACAATGACTATTTATTTCTCTAAGTGAACTTTTCACTGGGTATAGCCCAGTTACCCAAGAGCACAGAGTAAATGAACGAATTCATTCGTGTTTTTTTTATACCCGCATTCAGGGTCACAGGGGGTAAATGAATTATTTTCTGTTCTTTCACATGTCTGCTAGTTGTCTTAAATAACGTACCAAATGAAATTGAATTAATAAACCATAGGCAAATTACCGGTAACTATGGACTGATTATAATTAAAGTGTAAGTAGAGAACATACATATATTAACCAGGAGCTGTATCACTCAGTCACTTGATGTAGCGACAGTAATTTACACAGTTCTGAGTGCCTTCATTAAAATGTGTTTTTGACGATCTTCTCTAATTTGGATATGTCTCTATGATTCAGTATTAATTGTACCAGTGGAGGAATCAAGGAATACGTTTGAGTGTCGTGCAGAGATCATGCTCTATATATTTCTAGCTCATTCTTGATGCATTTATCCTCTGCTGTGTGTTGGAGCCCCAACATCTGCCCAAAATGTTAAAAGCAAGGCCTTAAGTTGTGCTGACCCCTTGTGATGGAATAAATTACTTGACTCACTGCTGCTCTTTCTGTTACTTTGACTGTTTTTGTGACAATTTTTCTGAGGGGTGCCAAGAGAAGTACCTTAAAAAAAATAAATTATTACTTTTTCATCCAGTGAGAGCCAGGATCCCCCCTCAGATTTACATTTGAAAGACAGGTAGACAAAGTGTGTAATATATTCAAGTAGGGCGCCCTCCGCCGTGCTGTCTCATAAGACTTTTCATTTTCTGTGTGTTTTACAGAGCGTCCGGGTACATGGACTGTCATTAGGGGAAAGTTCCTAGCAATCAATGCAGCCAGTATGAGCTGCGCGTGCCCTCGCAGTCCCAAAGGCCTCTCGCCCTCTGCACACCTTGCGGATGGCACCACCGACCTCATTCTGGTCAGGAAGTGTTCCCGAATAGACTTTCTTCGCCATCTGCTTCGACACACCAACAAGAGTGACCAGGTGAGCTCTTAATCTTATGGAAATACTGTATGCTACTCCCCAAAAATTTCACTCAAAGCAGAAAATCATTGACACAATGAGGAAACTATTGGCTTGACCGTAATATCCCAATAATATCGTAATGATGGAGGCAATTCTTTTCAATCCGCAGTTTGATCACTCATTTGTGGAGGTCTACCGTGTCAAGCAGTTCCGCTTCAGCCCACGTCATCTAGAGTGTGAGTCTGAACTGGACCTAAGAGAGAACAGGGGTAGCGGCAAGCACTTCCTGTGTCAGCAACGGGCCTGCGGTTGCATGGCGTCTAGGAGCAACTGGAACTGTGATGGAGAGATCCTGCCACACACTGCCATTCAAGTCAGGTAATATCATTCACACTCAGATAAGCCTACTGGTAGATCGATTGACCTCAGTAATTGAACGAAGCTTTTAGAATGCAACTGAGAATTTTTTTTATATTAAAATTACATTTAAATAAATAAATAAAAATGAAAACATTAAAAATAAAAATAATAATAAAAACAAAGTTAATAAATTAAAAAAAGAATGCATTTGGAAAGTAACCCTTGTATAAAAGTCTTTTTGTATAAAAAGATGCCCATATGTATTGCAAAATTAGCCAAAAATGATGCAGTCTAATGCAGTATAAGAATAAAACAAGCTACAATGTGCAAATCAAATAAATACAAGTGCTTCTGGCATTTTAACAATCTCCATCTCTCGCAATTATTTTAAACTAGCGAAGTACTAGTGAGGTCACAGTGTGCCTTTCTGAGTAGACTGTTCATGTACTTATGAGGTCACGTTACTTTTGCAAAACATTCTGAAATATCCACAACAAATAAGTAAAACCTTTTTTACCTCCAGAAATGTAATGCTTTTCATCAGTTATAGCAGTCTTTTTGGTTTCTTGCTTCATGATGCCTTTAAGAAACACAAATGTTTATTTGTTTTCTATCAAAAATTAATTAATGTTTCTAAATGAACATGTCATTTTAATTAGTGATTAAAGCCATGAAATCTGAAATTTCATTTTTGCTGGTTCCTGACGTTTGTGTTGTGAGAGCAGGGAAAATCTCCAGCACGCCATAACCCAAACTTAAGTCAAGTCAATATACAAGGTTATAAAATTATCTCTTTTTTATGACTTGTTTTCAAATGATACATGGGTACCTTTCATTTCATATGACACAAAATAATCCAATTTTACCAAAGCCCTGATTGTTTACTGAAAACTTGAGGCACCAGAGAACATCGTCTTAGCTCTAGCATACTAAACAGCCAACACAAATAAACTCTCTGATCCACGTCTTTGGAAAAGATGTTCTTTAAATGAAAAAAACTCCCTCTTTTGTTCCTTGCCGAGGTCTTGTTCTCCTCCTTGATAAAGCATGACAGCTCGGCCCAACGCATCATTTCCTTCATGCCCCATTGTTCTGTGTCAACAATGCGTAGCCATGAAATGCTCTGGATTTAATGGCCCTATCACTGTTTAAGGCTCGAGTCCTTTAATTAAAAGAGAAGTCCATTCATTTCTTCCATTTTCAGCTCCAGTAATTGTTTCTCGAATGACTAAGCAAATAACCTGTGGAGATAATTGATGATGATACCACAGAAGAAAAAGCCAATGGCGTGACACTGGACTCTCCTCCAGAGGATTGAGTTGAATTAGAGGAAATTAAAGAGGCCTTTAACTAGAAAACTTTTTACTCAACACGGCATGCCGGTGGTTTTTTACTAGTACAATCAAACCCTCTTCATGAACAACGTTGGGTTGAATAATGTGAAACCTGTGGGGTGTTTGTGGAATGTAGGAAAACTATTTAAACATCCGTTCTATTCTTGCAGTGGAAGCCCATGCCTTGTGTTTTCAAGCACTTACTACAACAATTTGAGGTCAATATGTCGCTAATGCTAACCAGATGTCATGGATCAGTGGAATATGTATAGAATTACTTGTGCAGGTGGTACATTAATTTCTAATTTTAAAAAGCTTGAGCCAGCACTCCCCTGAGATTTCAACACTGAACTAAGGGCTTACAGTGCACATCAGATGCTTTTTGTCTCATATATTGATCAGAATCAGAATATTTTGTGTTTTCGTAAAAACTCTGTATTAAACTAAAGTTAAATGTATCAATTGTATTACAGCAACTACATTTTCAGCTTATTAAAAAGGCTTGATTCTAAATTTCTTTTGGCTCAGTCAGTAGAGCATTGCGCTAATAATACAAAGGTTGAGACTTCAAACCCCAGGGAACTGACAAATTCCTCGAAATTTAAGTTGATTTGGATAAAAGCGCCAAATGCATAAATGTAAATGACTTGTTTTGGAGTCTTGCCCAACCCCAACCATGTGGAGTTTTCAATTTCCTACACTGTGCAACTGCACTTGGGCAAATAACAGATTTCTCTGGATGTTATCTTCTTTCCAATTTGGAAAATATCTGTCCAGCATCATGGGCAGGACCTTCAAATTGGTGACAGTGCCCTTCAGACTCAACATAAGATTTTGACCCTTAAAAAAGTCAAAAACTACATAAAGTTCAGTTTTTTTCAGGTCTCCTTTGGCTTTTATTGATTGAAAATGTACAGTTAAACAGGCATAGAATGAGAGAGACGGTAAATAACTAACAATTTGCTCTTTGTGGCTCCAAAGCACCATGTTGTCAGTGTGCAACTGTTCCCTTTTGGTTCTGCCTTAATTAAGTGAGTATTGGTATTGAGTTGACTGAATATTCAGTAGAAATCGTGCACCAATTTGATTGGGCGACCATTTTGGATATTCATAGATTGGAATTAATCTGATGTAGTCCAACACAAGGCAACAATAGACACATTTAGCATAAAGGCCTCTACACACCAGTCCGAATTAAGATTTGCACAAATCTTCAGATGACTTCTCAGCAGGGTCCTCTAAGTCTGGGTCGAGGAAATATTGATGCAATGATGCTCCCTGCCTGAAGATGGCATTTGTGGTAAACAGAGGCTCTAATTTCTTCTCCACATGGGGAATAGAGAACAAATAAAAGGACACAGAAAAAAATCAGGGATCTTTTATAGCAGTTTATACTGTTAGTGGCTGATCTCAGGGAACATATTAACAAAAATGTGGAAAGGATTTGTGGTGCTATATTTCTTTCCTGTTTCCTGTATGGGGTCGCGTTTGAAATGTGGGATGAGCACCACAAAGTGGCTCTTTTTCATCCTACTCACATCATCGAAAGCGCCATCATTGCTCATCCTTGCTCCGATATGGAACTCTTTTTTTTGTTGACACCACTTGTGTGATGTCCGGTTGGCACCCATGGTTTTCGATCAAGACGCATTGTTGCATGAAACTTTGAACTGAAAATTTAGATTAGTGTGTGGAGGCCTTTACCCACCAGTGTTCACCAGAGATTAGTTTCCTCCAAGTTCTGTCAGGTATGTCCCAATCAAGTTGACGCTGTGCTGTTTATATCAAAAAAGGTAGGTGGCTTTAGAATGAGTGTAGATCAAAGTGCCTACCTCACTTTGTTATTGATGGTGTGAAGAGCAAACGCTGGTTTCTCGGTTTATTGCCCCTTTAAGTGCATGACACTTTTTGCCACTCATAACGTAATCAGCACATTAAATCTCAAGATGCATCATTTGTTCTGTTTTAGAGTTCACTGTCAGTTGATCACACTGTTTGCACGAGGAATTGAGGAGCAGCCGGTCTTTGAGGATCTTTACGCTCACTGTGCAATATGAATCTCCACAATTCGGAAGACAAGGAGTGGCGAAGCATCTTCGGAGTCTCTTTATGAAGCTGGATTATGTTAGATTAGGATAAGCTCTTTTGATGAACCTAGAGTTGATTTTTAATATTTAAACTCAATAATTCAAGGAATGTTTATTTTGAAATTAAAACTCTTGTCAACTCTAATCCTCTATATCTGAAGGTAGTTGATTTCAAATTTCTCTAGCTCCAGAAAGTTCTCAACATCATTAAATCAGATCATTAGACCCTGTTAGTTCACTTCCGAATTAATGAAGCAACAACGTCAGTCCAAAGTGGCTCGCGGTGCACGTGTGGCTCCTAAAAAGCATTCCAGTCTTTAATTAAATTTTGAGTTGATGGCTTTCTGGAGCTTTGAAAGGGCAGCATTATTCACTTCAGCTGGATGAATTTGCATATTTTAGGAACAACACAAGTGAAAAATTTGGAGATACTACTCCATACTCATTTATGTTGCTAGTTTTAAAACTGAATGCTGTCAGCTACTGTCTTCCTCCTCAGTCAAGCTGGTCTTGAGAGTAGTGTAAAACCAGAACCCCAAAGAATAACACAAGGAACTGAAAATCTGTTGCTTTGGTTCTGAACCCATCCTCTTAGTAGAACCTTCACTATTTTTGTCTGGATTAATCATATTGTGATCTATACTATGCCAAAAAATGCTAATTTAATTGATACTGGCTTATAACCATAATTTACTTTAATTTGTGAATGTGTTATTAATGTAGAGTAGTGTTGCTTGTTTTTTCATAAAATAAACATTTGAATTAATTGTTAATATTGATGTAACAAATTATATGATTTGAACTAAACCATAAACCAAACCAAATGCAGCTATGGTATAAATTACCTTTCTGGGTGTAAATGTTGTTTCATATTTCACATGACCATGGGTTTATTTTTGTATCAAATTATTTGTATGATTGCATGAACTCCAAATCTTTCCCAACTGTGAATTACAAGATGAATTTATAGCTCAAAACACAAAATAATGTGACGCCTGATAGTGGGCAAACTAGAGTATCAGCATGAGTAATTTGTCTGTTGAGAAATGACGTACATGCCTGGTTGAATCCTTCAATGCTGTACTGTGATTATTATGATAACAGTTAGGCAACAAAAGCAGATCTATGCAATATATGATTGTCTTTGTTCGCTGGCTTTTGGTAGTCACCAAGCATAATATATATTTATAAACGCATGAACACAATTACAGCACACACATCCCAGGGGTGTGGTGATATTAATGCAAAATGCTATGCAATCAAGGCGCTTATCTGACCTTTTTAACAACTTGTAAACTCGAATGTTATTTTTTTTTATAAATAATTGCAATATTTGCTGATATTTGCACATGTTGCTGTGTTTGAATTACAAATTCACAAATTCCCACTAAGTATACAAACAATATTGCAACAATTATAAGCTCATACATTAAATTTCCTCTAAATTAAACAAATGTCATACAGATATGGACAAAAAAACTACTGAAAAATTGGAAAATTATGCTTAAGTTTGTTCGGCACCAGTTGGCTAAGCCTTTATAACTTGAGAAAGGTTTTTTATTTAGTCGTTTCCAGCACAAGTCCTCATGCAGTTGTCAAATTTAAGATCAAATGTATCATTAATCAATTGATCAAAGTTACAATTTCAATCTGCAAGTATATCTGTACAAACCTCACTCATTTAGTGATTCATGACACTTTTTGTCTGTTTCATGTGTTGGTTTGTTTTTTTTTTATTTTATTTATAAATGTGTTTGTTTTAAGATGCTTTAATATGTAACAATTCCGTTTTTTAAGCCCAAAAACAATTGTGATATTTGGCTAATTTCAATGTCTGAGCTTCAATGACAGATTTTTCAAAACAAAGCCTGCATCTATCTGTCGAAAGCAAAATACCATACGACCATTTCCAGGAAGAATGCCGCTGCTGGGTCAGTGAATAGTTTCTCCTGTTTAGTTCTCCGGGGTCTGTGGTTTAGTGTGTGTGTATTGTTTCTTGAGAAGGATAATGTTGGTGATTTCCAGATAAAGTTGCTTGAGACTGTTTCTTGTTGACTGCTTAACTCTGCATTTTTTTTTTATTATTTAAAGCAATGTTCATGCTCTTTAGTGTAGACTCAAAGATTGTTCAGAAGTTTCTTTCAAACATATATAAAGTCATCATTTTAAAATCATAATTGACAAAACGTTATTGTATGAAATACAAGATTATAGCAATATAAGACTTTTTCAAAATGCATGACTTGGCGCTGTGTGTGTATATATTTAAAATGTGCATCACGCCCCAAATTTTCAATGAAAAAAAAAAACATTTTGTATAATAAAAAAAGATGTAAATTAACACTAATATTCTTGGATTGTGCAACCCTAGCATCATCAAATTTTCTACAAAACTGTGAAACTAACATTTTTGCTAAATTATTCATTCAAAGGGTAAAACTATCACTACAACATGATTGTAGCTTGTAAAAGTGCTGAATTATAAATTTAAATTGCCCTTTGAGGGTGAAACCAAGCTGTTATTGCTGAGCATGATTCCCTCATTGGAATATAAATGAATGTCCGTGGATGCAAGCAGTCATTTGTCTAAATCCTGATTTATAGCTTTATTTTTTTCATGTGATCAGTATTTTTGTTGGATGTAGGATTATTGTAATGTCTTGCTTGTATATGTGTTGTCTGAGTTTGTTTGAAACTTGGCTGATCCAAAGATACCAGTCACCCTCTCCTCAGAGAACTGTGTTGGTTCCGTCATTTTTCTAATGGTTTTCCACAGGAACTGTATTTATTTAATTCTTTGCTGATTTTTCAGGTTTATCATAGCACTTCTGGGAAATCTGAAGTGAAAATGTTTTGCTGTCAATGTCAAAAATTGTGTAAAATTGTGTCTCATTTCATGTCTGTGCTGCATTCTAAATGAAGATCTCTTAAATAAAGTTAATAAATTGACTTCAGTGGGTTTTTTATTCTTTCAAACAGTGCAGGAGGGATTCACTAACCAGTATCTTAGCCAGTTATTGACGGCAAGGACAACAGTGAAGTGTCAGCATTTTGAGACCATTAACCATGCTCTTTTTTTAACTATACCCAAACTTTTCCAGATGTCTCAAAAAAAGGAGGGAAGATATTCACAGCTCTATGCATTACACCTCAGCTGGGAATTCAACATAGTTTTTAATAAAGGTACAGCTGGGAATAAGACACAGCTTCAAGATACTTAAAAAATATCCTTCATACTACAATCTAAAGAGTGGTTCTTTTTAGGAACAAATGCCTTACCCCTTTTTCAAAAAGAGATTGAGGAAAGCTCTACCAAAGGGGAGGGGAGGGGCTAGGGAGTTGAAGCCTCTGTGACCTGTCCCTTTATGTGCCTTTAATATTCAGACGCTTTGCATCTGACAAATGTCGTTGGTGGAAAGAAAAGATGAATTCATTTTAAACACGTATTACACAAAAATGACTGCGGAGAGAGAAATAACTTGTTCCCTTCAGTGGAT